TTTTTTTTTTTTTTATTTTGGGGGGGGGGGGGGGGGAGAGTTGTTGTATGGATTACTAGCTCAAGTAGCTTTTTTATTCTCCTGCTTCCGTGTATTGAGGCCTTACAGTCCTTTAACCATGATTCATAAATGAAATGTTGTGGTTTAATCTTTTTTGCTTATTTCTATTTGTTATCATTTTATTGGTGCAGTTTTGTTTTCCAAACGAGTTGCTTTGAAGCATAGATGCCAGTTGCAAAACCCAGGGCGGCCAATTCTCTTGAAACTATGATGAAATCTGAGGAGGGGAATGATTCTCTTGACACTTACATCAGACAGGCGATAGGGAAAGAGCCCTTGCTTTCTTTCTCAAGGACAGGGGACGGTCCAGTGCAGTGGATCCAATTTCTTCATGCCTTGGATCAACAAGGTGCCAGAAAATTTTCTAATGTTTCAAAGTTAAACAACTCAATAAAAGAGAGGGAACAATCTCTATAATGTAGCAATGGACTCAATTCATTTGCATCTGAGGTCAATGGGGCTAAGAAAAGTGGTGGACCACATGAAGGGAAAAAGAATGCCTCTAAAGTCTAAACATATGACTGCTAAGGCCTGGAAATTGTATTTTAGATGTGGAAGTAGGTACTGGGCTTGTAGCTGGCAACAGTTTAGGACTAATGTTGAACAAAGTATTTTGAATTGTTACTTCTCGTTTCTTGCAGATCTCCCTGGTTGGCCTTTGCTGACTCCTCTGAAAATTCAGATGCAGAAGTGTGACAAGTGTTTTCGGGAATTTTGTTCAACTATCAACTACCGCAGACATATACGTGTGCACCGTCGGTCTTTGAATGTTGATAAGGTTTCATGACTGCTTTCAGCCTTTACTTTTAAGACTATGATTGACAATATGTGCTTCTTTCTTTTTAATAGGTTCTTCTTCAGCCTTTGAAGTTTAAACCTATTTACAATTGCCATCATTAGAAGCAAACATATTGCTATGACTAGCTTAATTAATTGCCTGTTCTTTTGCTTTGCATGGGACATGGTTCTTTCTGATTATTTGTCCTCTGCTTTGTCTGATTTTCTATTTGCATTGTGTAGGAGTCTCATAAAAGTAGGGATTTGTTGGCAGCATTTTGGGACAAGGTAATTACTCAAATAGTTGTTTCAGAGGCCTTCAACTAAATCGTCCTTATGTTTTTTTTTCCCTTTATATGCAGCTATCTTTGGACGAGGCCAAGGAAGTTGTCTCATTTAATGATGTGACTTTGGAGGTACCAATCTGGTCTTTACATCCACTGACTTATTTTGATTACATTGGGAATACTGAAATTGATGGTAACTTATATTAGCTCTGTTAGTAGGTTTGTGGAATTAGACTCTCCTTTTTACTATTCTAAAGGATATCTTCCAGCAGTATGAAATGCAGACCTCTCTCTCTGCCCAACCCCCCTGCCCCCCGGGGGGAAAAACACACACATACTCTCCCTCATAGAGATGATTGTGGCCCAAGGGAATTTTTTGTATTCTATGTATTGTTTATTGTTTCTCTTTCAGTTTTTTTAGCTCTCTTGTAAACAACATGCATTTTAGTCTTTTGTTCTGTTTGTATTCCTCTTTTTTGGATCATCCTTCTCTTATTATCTGAATTATAATTTCTGATTGACTACACTTTTTAGGAAGTTCCCGGTTCTTCAATCATTGGGGCATTGATGTCATTTATCTGCAAACCAGGGTTTTGTGCTCTTCCACAAGTTTATGTGAAGGCCGGCTCTGCACTTTTGGTAGGGGATGATTTATTGATCCTCCTCCCATTCAACCCTTTCCCCCCCAACCCCAAAGAAAAAAAAGAGAGGAGAAAAACACTCGCACTAACAAGGCACCAGTTTTCAACTACCATGTGTCTAATTCCATTTGTTGTTTGCTGTCATCATCCTTTTTCTTTATGGATATGCTAAAGAAGCATCATTTACAGGATGTCATCCNTCGCACTAACAAGGCACCAGTTTTCAACTACCATGTGTCTGTTTCCATTTGTTGTTTGCTGCCATCATCCTTTTTCTTTATGGATATGCTAAAGAAGCATCATTTACAGGATGTCATCCAGGCTAGACATTCCAGGCTTCCAATATCCTCTCGAGAACTATTTACTATCCTTGATGATGCTAGTGAGAGGACGTTCTTATGTGCTGGCACAGCTGAATCAATGCAAAAGTATGTTTTTGATGGGGAAGCTGGGAAAATTGGCCTTGAGATAAAGAACTTAGTTGCTTGCACCAGCTTCCTTGTTGAACAGAGACTGGTATCCCCTTTTTGGCCCATTAATTAATTTTTGTTTGGTGGGATATTGAATTATTGAATGTTGCCCGCGAGGGTGACTGGCCAGGGCGGAGCAAAAAAATCATGCTAGGGGGGGCACAAATATTTTAACAAACTAAATATATTTTTCTTCATTCAATAGAAGTAAGGTAATAATTTATATTTAATTATATCATATTTAATACTTAAAAGTTCATTAAACCCAATAAATCAAAAATTAGTAAGCCTAGTATATATAAACGATAACAATTAAAAAAAAAGACTATTTATATATTTTTACAAAATATAGGCTAATTAAAATTATTTAGAATTGACTCTGGTGAATATTTTTATCATTGCAAACCATTGCATAACAATTTTATTATCTTTATATACATAATCATGTTATCACTTATATATTTATCACTTATTCGATTATGCAGTTCATCACGCAATTTATAATGTCTACCATAATTAGTAAAATAAATATCAGAATCGCAAGTAAACTAGCCAATATGTATATCATGTCTTTTCTAGTCTTATAAAGTGCAAAATGATTCTACTATATTCAAAATTTATCTAGATAGGTACATAATATGTCCAAAATGTGTCAGAAAAATTCATATTCATTTAATATAAGTGTACACTAATTGATGTGCCAAAAAAATAAAGTGAGCATAATTAAAAATATTAAAGAAATATTTAAAATATATATAGGTAATATTAAGAAAAAAAATTGAGGATGCATTCAACCGGGTTTTGTACTCACTTCGAGTCTTTGGTTTAAGTGGTGATGGGTACATACAAGGATCAAAATTTCGTTTCGAAGTACCGTTTCGGTCAACTCAAAAATAGAAACGTTTCGGAAACATTTCGGAAACGCAATGGAAACGTAGAAAAAATATGGAAACGCATAGAAACACAAATGCAATCCATTAATTTATAAAGATATGCTAAATAATTTATTAATTCAACATATTTATTAGGTTAACATCAATTTATACAAGAATAAATTTAAATTTGAGGGAAAAAAAGGGCTTGACTTGAGGCGAAAGTCACTTAAATTAGTTTCAAACACTTAATTTTTATGAAATAAACACATTTTTACATAATATTAAGGTCTTATAATACACATGAAATGCTAATGAGNGTCTTATAAAGTGCAAAATGATTCTACTATATTCAAAATTTATCTAGATAGGTACATAATATGTCCAAAATGTGTCAGAAAAATTCATATTCATTTAATATAAGTGTACACTAATTGATGTGCCAAAAAAATAAAGTGAGCATAATTAAAAATATTAAAGAAATATTTAAAATATATATAGGTAATATTAAGAAAAAAAATTGAGGATGCATTCAACCGGGTTTTGTACTCACTTCGAGTCTTTGGTTTAAGTGGTGATGGGTACATACAAGGATCAAAATTTCGTTTCGAAGTACCGTTTCGGTCAACTCAAAAATAGAAACGTTTCGGAAACANGGGATATTGAATTATTGAATGTTGCCCGCGAGGGTGACTGGCCAGGGCGGAGCAAAAAAATCATGCTAGGGGGGGCACAAATATTTTAACAAACTAAATATATTTTTCTTCATTCAATAGAAGTAAGGTAATAATTTATATTTAATTATATCATATTTAATACTTAAAAGTTCATTAAACCCAATAAATCAAAAATTAGTAAGCCTAGTATATATAAACGATAACAATTAAAAAAAAAAGACTATTTATATATTTTTACAAAATATAGGCTAATTAAAATTATTTAGAATTGACTCTGGTGAATTTTTTTATCATTGCAAACCATTGCATAACAATTTTATTATCTTTATATACATAATCATGTTATCACTTATATATTTATCACTTATTCGATTATGCAGTTCATCACGCAATTTATAATGTCTACCATAATTAGTAAAATAAATATCAGAATCGCAAGTAAACTAGCCAATATGTATATCATGTCTTTTCTATTCTTATAAAGTGCAAAATGATTCTACTATATTCAAAATTTATCTAGATAGGTACATAATATGTCCAAAATGTGTTAGAAAAATTCATATTCATTTAATATAAGTGTACACTAATTGATGTGCCAAAAAAATAGAGTGAGCATAATTAAAAATATTAAAGAAATATTTAAAATATATATAGGTAATATTAAGAAAAAAAATTGAGGATGCATTCAACCGGGTTTTGTACTCACTTCGAGTCTTTGGTTTAAGTGGTGATGGGTACATACAAGGATCAAAATTTCGTTTCGAAGTACCGTTTCGGTCAACTCAAAAATAGAAACGTTTCGGAAACATTTCGGAAACGCAATGGAAACGCAGAAAAAATATGGAAACGCATAGAAACACANGGATAGTGGTGGGCCAAACACTTTTGTTTTTGGCTTTGGGTGGGCATAAGCAATATATTATACAAATATATAATATATATACATAGGTAATAAATTTTTTTTTTTGTTGAGGGGGAAACTTGCCCACCCTGGACCAAGCTTAGCTCCGCCCCTGGTGACTGTCTGTGTGTAAATGTGTGCATCTGTGGTGTGTCGTTGCATGCATACATGCTTTTTATGGAAAATGCATGGGCAAGTTTCGTTTTGAATGATTTACCGGTGGAATAGGGTATCCGTAGCTTTGAAGGATATGTCCATAGTTGTGCCCAACTTGGCAAATTTGGGGGCATTGATTGGAATATGCACAAGTGTTCTCTATTTCTACTNGGTGGAATAGGGTATCCGTAGCTTTGAAGGATATGTCCATAGTTGTGCCCGACTTGGCAAATTTGGGGGCATTGATTGGAATATGCACAAGTGTTCTCTATTTCTACTTTTAAACTCCACTTGCTGTACCATCTCTCTCTCTCTCTCTCACACACACACACACACACAATAATTTAACCATATTGAATTGATATTCTTATGTGCTTAGGTGAAGGCATGGCTTGCTGACAAAGATGCTGAAGCTTTGAGATGCCAGAAGTTGCTTGTGGAGGAGGAAGAAGCGGCTCAGAAAAGGTAAATTGCATCAAATGATACACACANATATTCTTATGTGCTTAGGTGAAGTCATGGCTTGCTGACAAAGATGCTGAAGCTTTGAGATGCCAGAAGTTGCTTGTGGAGGNACACACACACACACACACAATAATTTAACCATATTGAATTGATATTCTTATGTGCTTAGGTGAAGGCATGGCTTGCTGACAAAGATGCTGAAGCTTTGAGATGCCAGAAGTTGCTTGTGGAGGAGGAAGAAGCGGCTCAGAAAAGGTAAATTGCATCAAATGATACACACATCTGAACTGCTTGATAGTACTTTGTTCGTCAGTGCCAGTCTGGTCCAAATGAAATTCCTAGTGTCTTGGCTGTGGGATTAACAAATGATAAACAATTAAAGATGACAAATCATTTAGTTGGTTATATCCTATTTCTTGTTTTGCCAAGGCCTCCAAGTTGAGTGGTATAATGTTTTGGAAAAAGTTAAACAAGAGACATACACATGGAGTTTGTGCAAACAAGTTTAATGCTTGAAGCCTTGAACTATTATGGATGTTTGGTTCTTTTCTCTCCTTTATCAAATAATTCTATCTTAATACCTTATCTCTAACTTTCACGTCTTGACTGTTAATATATGGTGATTATCTATTGATGGAAAAGTCATCAGGTATATGAACCTGCAGTTGATCTGTTTAAATGTTCAATGCATATGTGCGTATCTGGAGGCCCTTTTGTCCAAATCCATTCAGTGTTATTTGTTCATTGAAAAATCATTTTGCAAAAGACTTTGAAAGATGGATGAAGAGAATTGGTTTTGTAAAATTAAAGGAGACCATGGTTGTTGGTGTCCCCAAGGAAAGCACTTTATTATTTCATGTTTCTGAACAACTCCTCCAAGGGTCAAGAAGACTGCCTTTAAATATAAATTTGGAATTATGATAGGCAAGCTGAGCTGTTGGAAAGAAAAAGACAGAAAAAGCTTCGGCAGAAGGAGCAGAAAGCAAAAGAACAATCAAATGGTGAAAATGCATATTCGAACATCACTTCTGATATGATAGACAGTTCACCACCAGCAGAAACATCCAGCCCTTCAGCTCTGTCTGAATCCAATTCAAATGCTCTAGACATCCCTGATGATGTTTTGTCTGTCATTGATCCTGTTGAGTTCTCTAACAAAGATGAAGATTTGGATATTGAAGCTCAATCTGGATTTGGCAGTGAACATTCAGAATCAAGCACTAACCAGAATGCTGAACTCCAAACGATGCCGGCAAATGGTAATCGGCATGTAGTCATCAGTCGATGGCAGTTGCCAAAATCACAGCATGGTGGGCGTAATGGCTTTCATGGTAGTCAGAATCTTCAAGGTTTGAAGCTTGAACCTACGCAAAAGCATGGACTCCCCAGAGGTCCAAGGGCTGCTCTCGTTAATGGCAGTAAAGTTTGGACCAGGAAAGCTGAAAAGGATGGGGAGAGTTTGAGAACCAGATTACATGAAGAGGCAATGAACCAAACAGATCAAAATAAGTGTGATGTGATGATGATTGGTTCTATATCAATTCCCGTGAGAAATTGTACATCACAGCAACAAGGTAATTCTTTGGCTGAAACTGAAGATGATTGCAGCACAGAGCATACGGTGCCAAAGAAAAATAATTTTCAGGAAAAGATTTTAAAGTCTGATTCTGTTCATTGTGGCACAAACCGATCGGCTGTTAAGCTTTGGAGGCCTGTGAGTCGGCATGAAACAAGTGGTCCTTTGGCAGTTCAAAGTAGTAATCGAGAAGCTGAAGAGGGATTAATTTCAGAAAAAGGTGATGATGGAACTGTTTCCAATGATAGTTGTGTGCAATCGTGTGCTGTGGATATTTATGATAGTGAGAGAGAAAACTCTTCTCGTCCACCCTTGGAAGAAAATGCACATCCAGAAGGCTTGCTGTTCTCCAGCAGTGCTGCGAAAGCTTTTCTTGCACAGAGTATGTTCATTCTGTCTCTATTCCTCTTATTTTGCCCAGAACTCATGTTCCAGTCTTCCAATCTTAAGTATTTGTAGCTTCTTTTGATTCATTTACTTCTTTGTCTGATTGGCCTGGAAATTTGATGCAGGATGGAAGGAAGCAATCTCAGCAGACCATGTGAAATTAGTACTATGCCCGGAACCAGAACCACGAGGATGCTCCAGTGCAGAAAATGACTTGCAAGTAGTAACTCCGGCATCAGAGATTCACAATCGTAGCTCTCTGGGCGTTGCAGAGAACCGGCTGGCCGACGTTGAGGCTGTTGAGCCATCGGTCATTGGAAATGCTAAAGCCAAGATTAGAACAAAGCCTGAAAAGGGTTTCAAGATAAAATACATTCCAAAACAGAAAACCGTTACGTAGGAGAAAAGAGGGAGAAATTATCCAAGTAGTTCATATACCCATTGAGCAGTTTAATTCATTGCCCTTACATTCTTATCAGTGGTTTCAGTTTTACCTGTGTTCTTCTGTCAGCAAGCTGAAGAAAGGTTTTTTTTTTTTTGGGTGGGAAATATTTTGTAGTTCTAGTTCTAGCAACTTCTCTACGTTCTTTTTTCTGGTGTTGCTATGGCACTTTGGTTAGTGAGATTTTCTGCTTTTGTCGTCCAAATTTTCTGTAATAAATTGGGTTCTAGGAGAGTCATTTCAGAGTTTTTATTTTGGCCATTTTCACACCTCATGTTCTTCCTGACAGTGATATTAATATACGAGCTGTGTTTTGGTGTCTCAGTTGAGTCCCTTATCTTTCTCTTGAAATAAACCATGTCTTGGTTGAATGTTGAATCACTTGATGCGTATTGAGGGATCTTTAGTGTGTGCCAAATATAGGAATGATATAACTCCATCGCTAGTTCAAATGATAATAGAGACGAGTTATAAAGTTAAATATTCTGAGGTCAAATTTTGGTTAAGATTATATTATAAAGAGTTTATAGTTTATAGTATACTCGTAAATATTTTAATTTTAGGGTTGATGAATTGTATTGGAGGGAATAGAGAATTAGTTAAAATATGTAAATCGGTACGAACGGTTCTGACAGGGTGACAAAAATAATAATAATGAGGTCTTCCAATTCACCACCATCATACTGACCAACAAGCCTAGCCAACAACCCTAGTTAGTCCTCACAGACAGGTTCTCAGCTCTGCCACACACAGAAAGCATCGGTTCAACACTTGTTTACTTGCACCGATTCACAAGGCTGTTGAGTAGCTTGGGACATTTGACTAAGTAAATAACAAAGATCCACAGATCAAACAACCCACAAAAGTAGCCATGTAACTTTCAACACTCTCCATGAAGTTCTCACTGATAGCCATTTGTCCAACCACTTACACCTTAACTTCCCCCATCTCATCTCTGCTCTATNTATGCGTATTGAGGGATCTTTAGTGTGTGCGATATAACTCCATCGTTAGTTCAAATGGTAATAGAGACGAGTTATAAAGTTAAATATTCTGAGATCAAATTTTGGTTAAGATTAGATTATAAAGAGTTTATAGTTTATAGTATATTCGTGAATATTTTAATTTTAGGGTTGATGAATTGTTTTGGACGGAATAGAGAATTAGTTAAAATATGTAAATCGGTACGAACGGTTCTGATAGGGTGACAAAAAAAATAATAATGAGGTCTTCCAATTCACCACCATCATACTGACCAACAAGCCTAGCCAACAACCCTAGTTAGTCCTCACAGACAGGTTCTCAGCTCTGCCACACACAGAAAGCATCGGTTCAACACTTGTTTACTTGCACCGATTCACAAGGCTGTTGAGTAGCTTGGGACATTTGACTAAGTAAATAACAAAGATCCACAGATCAAACAACCCACAAAAGTAGCCATGTAACTTTCAACACTCTTCATGAAGTTCTCACTGATAGCCATTTGTCCAACCATTTACACCTTAACTTCCCCCATCTCATCTCTGCTCTATCACAAACTACCCTCAAACTTCTCTCTCCTCTCTCTCTAAAACCCTCCTTTCTCCTTCTCTGAATCCCACCTTTTTTTATCCTCTTCACACCCACTTCAAACTCTCAGTCTCTTACCCAAAAAGAAAATCAAAGAAAAAACTCTTCTCAATCCACAAATTATGCCCCAAAACTCCTAACCCAAAATAAATAATCTCTCTCTCTCTACAAACAACATAGGACGATCAAAAATCTCTGAGAAACACAGAAAATGTCAGGTGGGGTGGGTCCATCCAGTGACATACGTCTCCCAAATGAACAACAATATGAACCAAGAAACTCTAAAACCGTCCCAAAGAACACCCAGAAACCTCATACCCGCCGAGGTTTCTTCACTTTCCGGCAGCTCAACGCGCTAGCCGTTGTGATCGTCCTTGCCGCCAGCGGCATGGTAAGCCTCGAAGATTTCGCTTTCGTAGTCTTCTCTTTGATCTACATGTACTTCATATCAAGGGTCGCATTTCCATCTANTTGCAAGTAGTAACTCCGGCATCAGAGATTCACAATCGTAGCTCTCTGGGCGTTGCAGAGAACCGGCTGGCCGACGTTGAGGCTGTTGAGCCATTGGTCATTGGAAATGCTAAAGCCAAGATTAGAACAAAGCCTGAAAAGGGTTTCAAGATAAAATACATTCCAAAACAGAAAACTGTTACGTAGGAGAAAAGAGGGAGAAATTATCCAAGTAGTTCATATACCCATTGAGCANCGGTCATTGGAAATGCTAAAGCCAAGATTAGAACAAAGCCTGAAAAGGGTTTCAAGATAAAATACATTCCAAAACAGAAAACCGTTACGTAGGAGAAAAGAGGGAGAAATTATCCAAGTAGTTCATATACCCATTGAGCAGTTTAATTCATTGCCCTTACATTCTTATCAGTGGTTTCAGTTTTACCTGTGTTCTTCTGTCAGCAAGCTGAAGAAAGGTTTTTTTTTTTTTGGGTGGGAAATATTTTGTAGTTCTAGTTCTAGCAACTTCTCTACGTTCTTTTTTCTGGTGTTGCTATGGCACTTTGGTTAGTGAGATTTTCTGCTTTTGTCGTCCAAATTTTCTGTAATAAATTGGGTTCTAGGAGAGTCATTTCAGAGTTTTTATTTTGGCCATTTTCACACCTCATGTTCTTCCTGACAGTGATATTAATATACGAGCTGTGTTTTGGTGTCTCAGTTGAGTCCCTTATCTTTCTCTTGAAATAAACCATGTCTTGGTTGAATGTTGAATCACTTGATGCGTATTGAGGGATCTTTAGTGTGTGCCAAATATAGGAATGATATAACTCCATCGCTAGTTCAAATGATAATAGAGACGAGTTATAAAGTTAAATATTCTGAGGTCAAATTTTGGTTAAGATTATATTATAAAGAGTTTATAGTTTATAGTATACTCGTAAATATTTTAATTTTAGGGTTGATGAATTGTATTGGAGGGAATAGAGAATTAGTTAAAATATGTAAATCGGTACGAACGGTTCTGACAGGGTGACAAAAATAATAATAATGAGGTCTTCCAATTCACCACCATCATACTGACCAACAAGCCTAGCCAACAACCCTAGTTAGTCCTCACAGACAGGTTCTCAGCTCTGCCACACACAGAAAGCATCGGTTCAACACTTGTTTACTTGCACCGATTCACAAGGCTGTTGAGTAGCTTGGGACATTTGACTAAGTAAATAACAAAGATCCACAGATCAAACAACCCACAAAAGTAGCCATGTAACTTTCAACACTCTCCATGAAGTTCTCACTGATAGCCATTTGTCCAACCACTTACACCTTAACTTCCCCCATCTCATCTCTGCTCTATCACAAACTACCCTCAAACTTCTCTCTCCTCTCTCTCTAAAACCCTCCTTTCTCCTTCTCTGAATCCCACCTTTTTTTATCCTCTTCACACCCACTTCAAACTCTCAGTCTCTTACCCAAAAAGAAAATCAAAGAAAAAACTCTTCTCAATCCACAAATTATGCCCCAAAACTCCTAACCCAAAATAAATAATCTCTCTCTCTCTACAAACAACATAGGACGATCAAAAATCTCTGAGAAACACAGAAAATGTCAGGTGGGGTGGGTCCATCCAGTGACATACGTCTCCCAAATGAACAACAATATGAACCAAGAAACTCTAAAACCGTCCCAAAGAACACCCAGAAACCTCATACCCGCCGAGGTTTCTTCACTTTCCGGCAGCTCAACGCGCTAGCCGTTGTGATCGTCCTTGCCGCCAGCGGCATGGTAAGCCTCGAAGATTTCGCTTTCGTAGTCTTCTCTTTGATCTACATGTACTTCATATCAAGGGTCGCATTTCCATCTCTCTCTCCTACTCTGGACCCTCCAGTCTTTGATCAAAACAACAAGCTTCCGAGGCTCTACGCGTTCATCGGAGCAATGATCGGACTCTTCCTCCCCATAGCTTACATTTTCCAAGGTATCTTGGAAGAAGATAAAGAGGGTATCAAAGCAGCTTCACCACATGTTTTCTTATTAGCCAGTCAGATTTTCATGGAGGGTGTGGCGTGTTCGGACAAGTTTTCGATTCCGATTCGTATTTTCGTGCCGGTGTTCTACAATTCCAGGAGGATATTCACCATTTCGGATTGGTTGAGGAGTGAGATTTCAAAGGTGGATCAAGAGTTTGGTGGGAGTGCAAGGAGGTTGTACATTGGAAGAGCTCTTGCTGTTGCTAACTTGATCTTTTGGTGCTTCAATCTGTTTGGATTTTTGCTGCCCGTCTATCTTCCCAAGGCTTTTAAGATGTACCATTCTGGGTATAAGGCAAAAGATTTAAAATAATTTTGTAGAATTGGGTCTGGAGAGTTACTTTGCTCTCTCTCTCTCTCTCTCTCTCTTGTTTCTTTTTTCTTTTTTTCGCTTTGGTAAGGGTAAGAAAAATGTAATCTTGGGGGTTAAGCTTGTAAACTGTAGTTTCATTGTTTTTTTGGTTCCATGGTCTGTCCAGTTCAGTTTAGACTTAGCTCCACTAATTATTTTCTCATTCCTATCAAAAATAAATTATCTACATTTAAAATTAAAGTATTCAGAAAGATTTTATTGTTTGACTAATAAATCCAAGGAGTTGCCAATTTCATTGTTTGAGAAATAATAACCCATCATTTTTGGCTTGAGGCATATTTTCTTTGGAAATCGCTTCTACTACTTTGAAAGATTTTTTATTTTTTTTTTATTTTGTATTTTTAAAGATGAAATTTTTTATATTTCACCTTTAATATATTAAAAGTGTTCTAATGTAACACTTTCATTACATATTCTATCAAAATCCGTCCCACTAAAAGTGTCAGAATGAGTAATGCACCTACATCCCTGAGAATTTAAATATAACTAAAATTATTTCTCTAATTGATGTTTAATTTTGAACTTTAAAGTATAACAGATTCACAAAATAATGGATAATATAAAAATTATAATTTTTTATTAGGATAAAATTATGTTTTCTAACAGTTATATAAACAGATATAAATGACAATAGATTATGTGTTATACGTGCACAAACGTTAAGATGTGTATAAGTAATATTCTAAATGTGAGAAATCCAAATGATTAAGTGACAAATTTGAGGGAGTCCAGGTATAACTTATCCAACTAATTTTAGATGATAAATCGGCACATTGATACAAATATATATATTTGAGAATGTAAATTAAAATTTTTTATTTTTGAGTGTATATTAAAATTTTGGCAAATCTGTCGGAATGTAATTTGTGATTAACCAAAAAAAAAAAAAAAGAGTTAGAGATAACTCAGTTCCCTCCTCTTGATAGAATATAAAAACAACTTTAAGAATTGTAATAATTTATATGTATATTATGTATAAGTCGTAAAAATAAGTTGGCTAATGAGTATTCTGAGTCGACTCAAATTCTAAGAGAACTTATAAATTTATTTAAATTTGACTCAATTTATAATATGAGTGAGTTTAAATTGAATTAAAATCAAATCAAACGCAAATCGTCACGGACGACTCGAATGTGTCGGTAAAATGTGAATAGTTTTAGAGGAATTATTAATTATCATTGAAGGACTATATTTAAGATCGTGAAGTAACGTTATTAACTTGTCGGTAATGATTTAGCAAAGGAAATATAAGTGGATTAGATTTTGCCAACGCACTCGTCTTTCTAAGGATTATATGCACAAGTTCTACGCATGCATTTGAGCCACTGGTCTCATTGCGTTTTTTGTTCCTGTGTGTGATACTCTTCGAATTCGAGAGAGAGAGAGAGAGAGAACATGTGGTGGTTTGGCAGAAAAGGCCCGTCTGGGTTCTCATACTTCTCCACAGCTGAGGAAGTCACCAATGGAGTCGACGGTTCTGGTCTCACTGCCATTGTTACAGGTCATACATACTCCATCTATACACACGGATATGTGGTTTCGTCTTTATTACTGTCGTTGTTGTTATAACTGTTAAGATTCTGGGTTCAACTTGTCTACGACTTTTATACAGACAATTGATACATTGTCTTCAAAATATACTTATATATGCGTCTGTATGTATATACATGAGTTGAATATTTTTCGGTGTCTATATGTTATGATGGGTAAATTTCTTAAGATCATAAACATTCATTGACTTCAATCTAGAAGCTTTCACTGTTTATTGATAATTCTTTGGGCCGAAACCCGAGGGATAGCTCAAGTAGACGAACTAACCATCTGATATTAAATTTTAATAACTCTTTGGAGCTGGGCACGAAGGACCGTGGTCCCGGTGCATATAGCTTATCTTTGACCAGGAGAGGATATTAGCACATAAGACGGCTCAAACAATCTTGACCGTTGAACCACAAAAAATAGTTCTTTGGACCTGGTAGATTAAGTTTTTATTTATTTATAAACTTTCAATGTTTTTTACATGGAATTCGGTTTGCTATATGTTTGATCAGTCTATAATCTCAACTGATCAAAGTCAGCCAGTCAAATGTTTGGGAATGCATGTTTTCTTTTTCTGTTTCATTCTTTCTTTTGTACATCTGAGAAGGCAAGCAAAAATTAACAAACTTGGACGAAACAGTCATGTAGTTTAATTAGCACAAATAGTTGACCCTATTCCATTTAGTTTAAAATTTAAGAAATCAGTCAATCGCTGTCTGTAACAGGCAATGTGATACTCATACGGAGTTTAGCGAGGGCACATTAGATGTCCATGGTAATCAGAACTTGTCCATATACTTATATTCCTAAATCATTTAGACAGGGCATCGTTGATTGGACGCATTTGTTATATGCTAGAGATATCTGAAATAGTGTAAGTTCAAGAAATCTTGAATTTTAATCATATACTCATAATTTAGTTGTCCTCCTAGTTCTATTGATTCTTCCAAGTTGAAAGATGGATTTGTACCTTTAAATGCTAATCAGAACAAATAAGCTTTTAAGGGTATTCAGAAATTTCACCTTATCTTCTCAAATATTGAAGCATAGGCTATATACTCTGAGGTTTTGTTTGGAGAAATCTGATGCAATGATTGTTGGAAGTTCCATCTTCTGAATCAAAGGTACTTTACATTTAGATGTAGGAGCCAAATGGGTGCAATAGCTGGGAATTCTCTGTTACGACTCTGGAACATTACAATAGCAGATTACTGGTGACTTCATTTCTGGAGGCATCTACCATGTGCTCTTACAGGCATCTACTTTTGCTCAATGTCACTGACTCTCTGCATATGCAGGAGCATCGAGTGGTATTGGAGCTGAAACTGCCCGTGTCCTTGCAATGCGTGGTGTGCATGTTGTCATGGGGGTAAGGAATCCAGTTGCAGGTGAAAAAGCTAAAGAAGCAATAGTCAAGGAAATACCATCTGCTAAAGTTGATGCCATGGAGTTGGATCTCAGTTCAATGGCATCTGTAAGGAAATTCGCATCGGAGTTTACTTCAAATGGTCGCCCATTGAACCTTCTAATGTAAGAGAATGTAAAGTATTATCTCTCTCTCTCTCTCTCTCTCTTTAACATGCATGCGCACGCACGCTCACAGTTTCTTTCTACTGCATGAATATGTAGTTCTCTTGATGATATGGAGTAATTTTGAGTTCGTTATTGTAAGTAACAATGCAGGTATAATGGCGACCCCTTTCGTGCTTTCCAAAGACAACATAGAACTACAGTTTGCCACAAACCATGTGGGTAAGCTGCTTCTTTTTTTCTTTTGTTTTCTTCATTGATTTGAGGAAAGCATGTTCATTACAAGTTTGGTCCTTGTTGTGGATTGCGTTCAAACTTAACCTTTGCATTACTTGCACAAAAATNATGCTTTCCAAAGACAACATAGAGCTACAGTTTGCCACAAACCATGTGGGTAAGCTGCTTCTTTTTTTCTTTTGTTTTCTTCATTGATTTGAGGAAAGCATATTCATTACAAGTTTGGTCCTTGTTGTGGATTGCGTTCAAACTTAACCTTTGCATTACTTGCACAAAAATGACTGTCAATATCTTTGACCTAGACTTTGTGGTTGTTAGCCCGTGATGCGTAGTGATTGTTAAGAGAGTTTGTATACCACATCGAATAATTAGACCACTAAAGTTGGTTTATATACTTGAGGGGTTGCTTCACCTATTGCCAATTGGTTTTGGGTTGGATGCTCTAACATGATATTAGAGCTGGGTCTTGGGTGGTTAGTGGGCCAAGTCCCTTACCCATTTGAATCTTGGTATGCATGGTTGCTTGTTTGTTTGTTTGTTGACCCCACGTGTGAGTTTGGGTCCCATGTGAGCCAGGTTGTTAAGAGAGTTTGTATCTCACATTGAATAATTAGGNTTGGTATGCATGGTTGCTTGTTTGTTTGTTTGTTGACCCCACGTGTGAGTTCGGGTCCCATGTGAGCCAGGTTGTTAAGAGAGTTTGTATCTCACATTGAATAATTAGGACCACCAAGGTTAGTTTATATTTTTGAGGGGCCGCTTTACCTATTGCCAATTGGTTTTATGTTGTATGCTCTAACAGTGATGATAACCACCCACCAGAAGCCACTGTTTTTGGTCCTTGAAGATGCAACTAGTGCTGGCAATTCTTTACACATCTGTCGACTTAACACATCAAAAAGTTACCGAATATAGGTTTATCTATAACGAGGTTGTGTCATGACTGGCTTGTCCGTCAAGACTGCTTAATAAATGAGTCATGACGGGGTTGAACTAAATTTGACATAATACAACTTACAAGAATTAGACACCCATCACAACATGACAAATTGGTAGTCTTAGATGGAACTATGCAGCTTGACATTTTTTTTCCTTGAAAGTTTAAATATCATGGTCCTTCATTAATTTTTTAATCTTGGAGATGAAGTCATATTCTAGCTTGAAGTAAAAGCTCCCAAAATCATTCCTGACAGTTGGAGGTGTAAAAGGAAAACAATTCACACAATCTTTCTCCATTCTTTTGAATATATTTTCTTACAAAACATAAGGTTANTGTTAAAGCTCTCAAAATCATTCCTGACAGTTGGAGGTGTAAAAGTAAAACAATTCACACAATCTTTCTCCATTCTTTTGAATATATTTTCTTACAAAACATANAGTAAAAGCTCCCAAAATCATTCCTGACAGTTGGAGGTGTAAAAGGAAAACAATTCACACAATCTTTCTCCATTCTTTTGAATATATTTTCTTACAAAACATAAGGTTACTATTTTATCCATGTTTTAACACATCACCATCCCTGTTGTGTCAACGCACGCAGATTGGAATGCAAGTCTGAAAATGTGGAGTATGAGAGTTTTTATCGACTTTTGTTCTCCACAATGTGGATACATAAATTAAGGGAGAAGTGCAGTGTGGGAAGCTAAAATTAGAGTGCCAATGGGGCTGATGGGCTGTCCTTGTTGTCATCATCATCCTCACAGTTATTTAATTGGATTTCAGGACATTNCTGTGGAGTATGAGAGTTTTTATCGACTTTTGTTCTCCACAATGTGGATACATAAATTAAGTGAGAAGTGCAGTGTGGGAAGCTAAAATTAGAGTGCCAATGGGGCTGATAGGCTGTCCTTGTTGTCATCATCATCCTCACAGTTATTTAATTGGATTTCAGGACATTTCCTTTTGACACATTTGTTGTTGGACACCATGAAGAAAACAGCACGTGAAAGCAACAAAGAAGGTAGGATTGTGAACGTTTCATCGGAGGCTCATCGGTATGCNTTTCCTTTTGACACATTTGTTGTTGGACACCATGAAGAAAACAGCACGTGAAAGCAACAAAGAAGGTAGGATTGTGAACGTTTCATCGGAGGCTCATCGGTATGCATATCGTGAAGGAATTCGTTTTGATAAACTCAATGATCAAGCAGGGTAATTTATACTGCTACCATTCTGGATAATAAGATTTAAAATTTGTATGGGGATAGTAGTCACAATCATCAGAGATGTTCATTGTTTGAGCATATCTTTACTCTTATTTCCAGCTGTTGTCCATGAAAATAGTCAAAATTGTCCTATAATGTTTACTTGGCTTCAGATGACCATGCGTTTCTCCAATATTTGTTTGTTGCTGCCAACTTGTGCTTCCCGTGAAATCCACATGCATGGGTTCAGATGTCCATGCATTGTTGACACACCAACATGTGCTTAACTTGTGCTTCCACCCCTCCCCTGAAAAAGTCCAAAAAAAGAAAAAGAAAAAAGAGCTTTCCTGATGTATGTCAGTCAGATGTTTAGCAGCATGGGTTGTGCATTGTAGACACCTCTAATAGGTAAATTATCCATGTTAGACACCAATATTACCCAATAATCGTATGACTCGGATTCATCTCTCTTCATTACGAGTGAGAATTCATTTTGTGTAGAGTATGGAACAAGGTCATACCTTTTTAAAACTTCCAATTGAATGTTTAAACACGTTGATGCTAGTAAACTCCTTGGTCCACTAATTTGGGGTGATTTAATAGTTATAGTTTTTGCCGCGCATTTATATAGCACTGTCCTCAGATTCTTTTCTCATGTCGTCTCCAAGTCCAATTTTTATACCTTCAACTCGTACATGTCCTATGCAACATTCCATGTTCAATTGTATTTGTTTTCGTCCATGTACAGGTACAACAGTGTACGTGCATATGGTCAATCAAAGCTTGCTAATATTTTGCATGCTAATGAGCTTGCAAGACGTTTAAAGGTATTCGTGGTTTGACTCCGAAGTTCATGTTAAACTTTTTACACTAGTTCATCTTCTTAATTTTTTTTTGAGTTTGTTAACTAGAGCATAGCAAACAGTTCCTCTTCAAGTATCCTTTGTTGATATTTATGACCTTGTTTAATAAATCACTTATTTGGTCTATCGATTATTAACAACCAAACAGGTCTTGTTAACAAATGTGTTAACTTTTGGACAGAATTTCGATCTCACCAATCTTCCAGATTGTTGACCAGTAAAGCGGCAGAGCTGTATGAACTTCAATTCATGAAAAAGTTCCTTTTTCTGGATTCTTTTTCATCAGGCATAAATTGTTACTCTGTGGCCCCCAATATTTTTTTTTCAGAGTACCAATACTTCTATTGTATTTTATTGTCAATATGATTATCTTGTGATGAGCATGGCAAAGAAAAGAAAACATATCAGGAGGATGAATCAAGAAGGATTAATTAGCAGTGTTTCCCTGATTTACCTTGTCTTTTAGATATTTTCCGAGGTGATATACCTTTGAAATCAACTTTCTCCCACAATCATATCGTATTGGTATGATTGCGATTTTATGTTTTCTGTGGAATGTCAAGTGTTATGTTAGAAATATCAGATCTTTATGCCATCCATGCCATTTTACTGCACTCTGAAGTATGATAACTTCTTCTTTAAACAGGAAGATGGGGCAGAAATAACTGCAAACTCTCTTCATCCAGGAGTAATCGCCACCAATCTTTTCCGCCATCTAAGTTTCGTTGAGGGTATTTCAAAAACTTTTGGAATGAATGTCATCCAATTGATAAGATTTCATACGGGAATATATATTTTTATACATCTGCATACAACTCAAAACTTCATTTAATTTCGAGTATTAGAGCTTCGATTTCTACTTTAGTATCCTTGTCAGTTTTATATCCAGTGAGTGTGTTACTTAGTTGAATTCTCTTTTAGCAGTACCTTTTTCTTCAAATGGCAATCATATAGAATCGTTTCTAAAAAGAACACCATGAGTTGATCGATTAAGGCTGCTTGACAGGTTTCATGGTATATGTCAATCTTTGAAGTCCTCTGCTTACAAAGATTGATCTATTTTTGATATAGGTTATACTATTGCTGCATAGAAAGAGGACTACATGACTCCTAGCTTTTGACTTTCGTATTATTTGTTTGNGATTGATCTATTTTTGATATAGGTTATACTATTGCTGCATAGAAAGAGGACTACATGACTCCTAGCTTTTGACTTTCGTATTATTTGTTTGGTGTTACCACAACTTGGTAAATGTCTTAACTGTTACCTTTTTGTTTGCTGAAGGTATTGTTGGCAAGCTTGGAACATATGTGCTGAAAAATGTTCGGCAGGTAAGTTGGTTTTGATCTCATCTCATGGATACTGATTACAGTAACTTGATTAAATGTGCTTCATTTAGTTTATTTCTTCGCTTAACAATTTTCAAGTGTCTTTTGCGCGTACAAAGAAAACAAAAATTACATGGTTTCTTCCTTTCAGTTGTGGTCTGGTTTGGTATTTTAGGCAATTTGGCTCTGCTTGTTGCAAAGAAACGACGATTTTTAAGGATGGTTTCATCCAATTAAATAAATGGTGATTTTTATTTAATTTTTCATTTCTGTTTTCACTAAATTTGACTGTAGGGGGCAGCAACAACTTGCTATGTGGCTTTGCATCCACAAGTCAAGGGGATAAGTGGTGAATATTTTATGAACAGCAACTTGGCCAAAGTGAATGCACAGGCTTCAAACATTGAGTTGACAAAGAATCTGTGGGATTTTAGCATGGACTTGATTAAGTAATGTACATGGAACTTTGTAGCTATAATTTTTTTTTGACTTGTCGTGGCAAAGAAAATGACCATTCTTTGTCTGATAACCAGTTTGCAATCATAATCAGTATCTTTTGTTTTGTTTGATTTAAGATTGGAGACAGCCAAGTCCCTCGATCCTAAGGATAGTTTAAGTGATAACATAGACGAGTAATAAACCTAGACGTCTTGAGTGTGAATTTTGACAATTCTTTGAAGTCAGTTCGTAATACCTTAATTCAGGTGTGGATTAATCGAGGTGCGTGTAAGTTGACTCGAATACTTTTGATTGTTGAAGTAAAAAAAAAATCAAGGCCCTTGGTATTAGAAATATGTCTAAACAAGATGCTATTCTGTTTATTGGTATTCTTTTGTATATCAATACACTACCTATAAATGCAGATAATTTCACAAAGGATTGAATCATTCATATAATATACAAAAAAGAAACTCAATATAGTTGATATCTTTCTCTTTGAATAAAATCTCAATTCCAGCAATGGTTTCATTAAATATCTTATATTCAGAATCTCTATTTTTTTTGATCTAGTTTTTCTATCATCGGAAACCCTAGTATTCATGAAATATTTCTTTGTACGTGGTTGAAATTTGAATCTCCTTGTGCTACATTGGCTGCATGGAATTAGGGTGAGGAATAGGTCTCTCCTACCCCTCCCCCCTCCCTCTCTCTTCAAAACCCAAAACCCTAATGATCCATGAGGTGGTTAGGCATTCTTAAACAACTGAAGAGCCTATGTCTGCGTGTGCATGTGGGAGGGTGGAGAAAAAAAAAGGTTTTTTTTTTTTCTTTTCTCATTAATGAGAGTTTTTAATGCATCATTACTCTAAGTGGATGGAGGAGGACATCATCTAGTGGCCTGTGGAGTGAATAAGCCTCAAGCTAGTAATGAAATTTATCAAATGAAGTTTCTTGAAGACATTCTTACCACCAGCTATTTGGAGAATATGTTGTACTTATTATTCACAAATTAAATAATCTCTTTTCAAATTAGTAGATTCATAAGAAAAATAATCGATGATTCATTGTTTGTATCCCGACTCTCAATTCTGCGCATTAGTTTCACCAATTCTTCAATATAGTGTTGAAAAAGAATGACAAGTGGAACATCTGAGACCTCTTTCAATGTTTATGTTTTTTACAATGGAGCGCATATTCATAGACCTGATGGTGATGAGGGTATTCCGACGAGAGCTAACGCTTGTGCCTACTCTCACTGGTCAAGACATTGAGTCCATGACCAAGCAGAAAACCACAAGCAATTTGCAATTCCTTATTCACCACTAAGGAGTAATAATCACTAAACTAGTTTTCTCCAATTAAATAGCCAGACAGATGACACAAATGTTTGACCAACGCAAAACAGTAAAAGGGGTTACAACATCTTACTCAATTTGAGAGCAGTCATTTTTTGTTAATTTTCTTTATGAAATTGTAATCTACAAGATTGGTCTCTAGCATAAGAACATTTGTGTCATCATCTTATAAGTGCCAAGCCAATAGCTGTGACTATGAGTGTGGAGGGAACTCCAAATTTGAGATGGCTCCAGAAAGACAAATTGTAACCAACGGTTGCACGTCGAGCCTGCTCACACACAATTAAGTTGGCAGCTGATCCCAAGAGTGAGAGGTTGCCTGCTACAGTGCTAACCCAAGCTAAAATGAGCCATGCTTTCTTCTCACTAGCTGGAGATATTGAAGCTGCCGATGCTGCCACCCGTCCTCCAAGCAATAGAACTGAAATCAAGTGAATTTGTTATATTTGTAGGCCGCCCAAAATCCGTGTGTATTAATGGAATGGTTGTTACACTCTTATTACAAGTTTGATAATAAAAACAATGTGTTCTTAAGAAGTAGTGCAGGTTGTCAAGCTAGATGATAAAGTTTTGGCAAAAAAAAAAAAAAAAACTCTATGACCATTATAACAATATGTATAGGCAATTTAAGAACCATTATAAGCAACAATTCCAAATATAACTCAAAGAAAACATCATGATTATGTATAGTAAATGGAACATAAGAACCACTGGGGTATTAATGTACATACTTGACATTCTATTAGTCAATTGAATCCCCTTAACTTGTTAAACCACCGTCCATATAAAAGCTTAAGTTATTAGAAAAAATACAACATAGAATCATATAATTCAGCATGCCCACTCCCGTGCGTGCGGGTTAGATTTTGGGCCAACCACTTATGTAAATCTTTCCATTTTAGTTGATGACTAGATTCAAATACAGGAAATGTTGCTTCAATACTATGTTAAATCACCATCTCATCTAAAAGCGTAAACAATCCAATCAAAATAAGTAGAATAGAATTTTCACCTATTTATTATTTGGCCCCTGAGCCACAGGACTATGACATAATTTACTTAATTCAAGCATTAACTTTTAAAAAGGAGATAATCAAAAAGCTTTTCAAATCATAGACAACTCGAATTGACAAACCACATGGTGAAAAAATGGCAAGTCAAACATTAACTTTAAAACAAATGTATCGAACAAAATTATTTGTGTTTAGGAACTTGACCTTTGATAAAGGATTTGTTAAATCTCCCAAAACTTCACCAAGTTGGTTTTTAGTCAACTGGATTGATTTCCTCATTCATATGACTTGATGTAAAACTCTTTTTAGCTTTGAAATTTGAAATATGGAGAAAAATAATTGAAATTTGTTAATATAACAAAATTATTTTTCAAATGATAAATATTAGTAGGACTTTGAATAATAAGCTACCCCAACCCACTTTGTTTTTGAATTATTTTGATTGTTGAAAACAAAATGTTAAGTAAAACTTCAACATGGATGAAAAAAACCCCGAATTTAAGCTAAGATTTGATTGCTTGTCTCTTGGTTCTTTCAAATGAAAACCCTCACCTATTTATAGGTCTTTCGTCTTATCATGAATGAATAAGATATTGCTAAATATTATACATTTATGGGGTCTCTAAAATCTTTGCAAATATCTAGTCTTTTAATATGTATAAAAACTATTTTAGTTCTCTCTTATACTTCTCCTTATATTCTTGAATATTCTAGAATGTTGCTTAAAGAATGTTTAAATAAGAAAACTTTTGTATAATCCTCTATAATATTCCTGACTTGATTCGAAATGTGTACGCCTAAGTACAAGCAGTCAAGTTGTAATAATAATCCGGTTAAATTCGGAAGAGAATCCACAGGGAACTAACGTTGGTGTTTCGAAGCAAGTAGTGAAAGAGACCAAAGTGACTGAAACCCTTGAGATTTAAAGTTATGGAGTTTATGGAATTTTCTGGACAAAATATAAGATTCTTTCCAAAGGGATTTCTAGACAAAATATGATATTCTTTCAAATGTAAAAGTCACCTTTTAGCTTGAGGATCCGAACATGTAGTCAATCATCCAGTTGTTATACTTCTGCTTGAGAACTCAATTAACCCCTATGTTAACAGAAAATTAATTGGAGGATAAAGATGGATTGTGACAATTAAGAGCATGGTTCCGATGTCTTTGTAGAGATTTACAAGAATTGTCTGTGCCGAAACTCAACCCGTCAACAAACAAGCAAGTAATTCTACAAGCCATCCAACCATTGTATTAGTATTCCATTCTTAGTTGAAGTACAATAATGGTGAATATTGAAATGTAGTCATAAAAATCTAGTTGGGGTACTTGCAAAGACCCAATGAGTCCTCCTATACCAAGAGTCATCTTTGTCCGAGAATGGACTCATTGTTGTACAAAGTACCTTAGCTTTACTAGATGCATTCAATCATTCAATAAACAAGTAAAAAATAAAGTATTAAGCATAAACGAAATGCACAAATATAACTTCCGAATGATTTGTACATGTCATCAGCTCTTACTAAAGAGTGAATGAGTAACTACTCACTCTTCATGACTTTGAGAAAGCTAGAGAAGTGAGTGATTCTCATCCCTCAAAGTAGAGGAGTTTACAAGGTACAATACACTACACAATGAGCTTATCTTCGACAAAAAAATGAGTGAATCACTTTCTACCCTTCAAGGCTTTGAGAAAGCTAGAAAAGTGGAAGAGTTTCATTCCTCTAAGGAAAGAGAAAAGCTCAAACAATGAAAGCTAATAAAATTAATAATGAAAATAGAAGAGAACTAGTTACTTTTGGAGGGTAATCCTCTTTTAAAAGCTTTCTATATCTATTCTAAAATGTCTAAGCCTAAGTCTTTATATATTAGTCCAAGTCTCCTTTCAAGGCTCCAAAGAGGACGTATTTATAAGCAAGGGGGAGGGGGTAAAAAGAGTAAAAGAATAGTAAATGCCCCAAGATCCGGATGGACAACCAACCACTTTACAGCCTGTCTGGAGAATACGTTCGAACGTGGGATGACGTTCGAACGTCAATTCTTATCTTCTTTGAGGGGCGTTTGAATGTCAAGTGGAGTTTGAACGTAATACTTAAGTGACTTATGTCCTCCACAGTGAAGAGTTGCATCATGTCATGTGCCATCACCTTATCAATGTCCTGGGAGTCCTCAAATAATTCAAGCCAACATTCGAACATAGTTTAGTGTTCGAACGTGGTACTCAAGTGACTCTTTGTTCTTCTTCTCAAGGAATAACTGCAACATGCCATGTGCCATCACCCTAGCAATGATCTAGGGGTCCTCAAATAATTCAAGATGACATTCAAACATGGATTGGCGTTTGAACGGAGTAGCTTTGCTCCCTCCTTCTCCAATTCTCTTCCAGAACACGTGGGTGTTGCTTGAAAGTTTGGTATTCATTGACTTTAGGATTTTGTACAACTTTTTCCTAAAATATCATCATTGAAATTCCATCAAAGCATAATTAGTCTTATAAAAGCGTAGTAAGATGCTAATTTTAACTATTCATCACACCCTCAACCTAAATATTGCTAGTCCCTAGTAATACAACAACAATTGAATGCGAAATCATTTACAATGCCATTTTCGTACGTCACTCGGTTGCATTTAACATATGCAACAAGCCGTTAAACCCCTAGGTTTTTCCTAGCGGACGAATGTTGTCTCATGAGGATTTCAATGAAGCTACCCATAAACTTCAGTCGAACAGATGTGTGTATGTGAGATTGCTTGTCAGAATGAGTTAGCACCATGGTCATTTGAGACACCCAACCCTCAATTTCGACTTATCTACCTAACATTTCTCTTCATAGGTACGCACTCTATGCAAAATAAAACATTTGTTACATTGCTATTTGAAATTCCCTATGTAGTAAAAATAATCATTCTAGCGACAACAAGTGTTATATAACAAACACTCCTCTTTACAACCTTCCATGGATAGCTTTGATTCACAAAATTCTCTTAGAATGCCCTTAGCAAAAATTTTCTTCGATTATAGTGATTTTTCTCTCAAAGGGCATGTGATCAAAATAAGGCTAATTATAAATTCACATGCAAAATTAGTGCAGGAGTGAAATCTAAGAAAACAACCTAATCATGTTTGGCATAATTTCATGAAAAAATATTGATACAAATAAAGTAATACTATTTAACATACCTCAAACTTTTGATTGACGAGCTATACATGAATCAGACTTGATATCAATTAAAGTTTTTTATAGGTTGTAATGTGGCCAAGGGTCAGTGGCTAACGAAACAACGTCAATGGTATTAAAAAACAATCAATTTTTTTTATTTAATGTAGCACACCTCTTTCTAACTTTTCGAAACTTCACCTACATGGTATTTCTTTCTTTCATTCTTTTTCTCATTTTTCACTTTTTTCAGTTATTTCCACAGACCTTTCTTTCTTTGAACATTAGCCACCATCGTCTTTTCTTTTTCTCTTACTTTTCTGTATCATACTGATTTATGAGAGGGTGTAAAAAAATTAGATAGCAAAGGTATGCCAAATATATTTTCCTGTGGCTCGATTATCATATGGGTTACATGAAAAAGAAATCACATTTTAAAGGCTCAATCACGATGACTAGGGATCTAATTTTGTAAAAAAAATGGCTAACGCTCAAAATTAAATCAAAGATGACCTAAGATCCTTTCTCGAGCATGTGCACATGTATGTGTCGTATGAACAGATTCTTTGTGGGATATGTCAATGGATTGGTCTGGTTGCGTCAATCAATAACAATTTTAATGAGACTATTCAAGGATAGAAAGTAAAAAGTTTACTAGAATAAATATTGATTTTCTCTCAAAAGCATTGCAAGGCTCAAAAACTTACCATGATATTCTTTGTTATCTCCACTGGTTATATTAGATTTTCAAAGAATGTCGAATATATATCAATTTCAATTTCGAGTCTGGTCATTCTATACCTTAAGAACAATAAATACCAATATACATTTGACATTTAACCATAGAGAAAATACCATTTTTCAAGATAGAGTGGTTTTAAGTCTGGATTGTTAGGTGAAGTGTCAAACCGCTTAAGTGCTTGGTCATTTTAGTAAACAATATCAATATTTACATATGTTCCATCAATCATTAACAAACAACAATGAAGTGCTAACACATACATTTAAGAAGATAAATATACTAAAACTAATTCATTCATTTCACAAAATATCATCGTTCAGTACAAAAAAGATTTAGATCATCCAAAAACAACAACCAATCATCAGACTCAAGTACAAAGAACTTTTTCACTCTCTCGCCTCTCTCGAGCTTGAAGATCCTCCAGCTCCACCCATCAAAAGTATGAGAATTTCTTCTTGCTGTCGGAGAATCTTATCTTGCTTGGCCTCAAAGCCAAACATGATGTTCCGTAATGTCCGTTGGGTGTTGGTCCTTGCCTCAGCCTCTGTCTATGCCTGTGCCTTGTTGGCCACTCTTTCCTCCTTCACGTCTAAGGCATCCTGCACTTCATCTACGCCTTAGGCTGGTGGCATATCCTGTCTCGCCACTGGGCCTTCACTATGGCCTTGGCTCTTTTGGAAGGACACCTTGTTCAACGGTCCCATTGGCTTGAGTACTCCCATCTCCGGCCTCACCTTCACTCCATAGTCCAAGCACATCTCCGACACAAATGTACCAAAAGGAGTGAATTTCTCTTTACATCACACCCCTTCATCATCTCAGTCA